CCCCAAAACCCCAAAACCCCAAAACCCCAAAACCCCGAGTTCTTAATATTATTAAGGCGATATGGAAATAAAATAATTAATAAATATAATTTCTGAAGTTAATTACTTTGGTTTATAAAGTTGAGCAATAATTAATTTAATTTGTGGTAGTTGTGATAGGTAGATAGACACTCAAGATTAGACTGATTTTTTACTTCTGTTATACATATACTACAATCTGCTTTCTTTAGCTTTTTTTATTTTATCTCGAAAGTCAATATTTATAGATTCTAACTGCACAAAGCTTTTTTGATTTTTCAACAACTCTAGATCCACATTTTCTAGTTTAAATAATTTCTCCCTACTTAAACTCTTTTTGTGGGATTGCTTCATCATCATTTCCTCTTACTTGTGTTTTTCTATGATAAAACGGATGTCATCGAACTCTGTCTCGACATCATCACTGTCTGTGACACTAGTATCAGATTTATTATGCTCAGATAATGGTTATTTATGAATTAATTCCTCAGACTTCGCTATATAATCTTCATCCAAAATATCTCCAAATTCTGGGCCAGCTGTGCTGATATTTAATTTTGTTTGATCCTTAACTTAGTCAGCTTGTTAAATCATATCCTCAAACTCTTGCACTTCGATGCCTGCCTAAAAGCATTTCACCTAAATGAATCTATCAGATCTTCTTTCCAAATCATTTTGCATTTTACAAACTTAGCCTTTAAAGCTTTCAAGAAGTTTGTCCTTATCTTTAATTGTATCAAGGACTTTCATAAGCTATTCTTCTGTTTCTTCTGTAAATTCCTGATTGAATTGATTTGCTTAATCCCTCATAGTTATAAACTGTTTAAGCCAACTATGATTTTAAAGTCTTTTTTCCTTTAATTCTTTCAGATATTTCCTTCTTTTTTATTTAATATACTTATCTCTTCTTAAGTTAAAAAGTTCATCGAGCAATCCAAAAATTCTGAGGTTGAGAAACTCTTTTGGCTTTATTGCTTTAATTTGTTTTATCAGCAGATTTTTATTTTTCTGATGTATATATTCTGAATCTATTCTTGAATTATGAGTTGGTGGTTTTCTTATTTATCTGTTAAAGTCGTATTTTTGTCCATCCACTTCATAGAGCACAGCATGAGTTTCCAAAGCATAGTATAGATCCTCACACTTCTTTGATAAAAAAACTAAATCTGCTGCATTCAAAATAAGCAAGTCAACCTTTTTCGATGATACTATGAATTCAAAAAGAGAAAACTTCTTTAGAAGAGCACTCGATAGATTAAAATAGCCTCCCTCATTGATCCTGCCAAAATAAATGTTTTCATCTTAGATTTGAGCATCTTTATTGGTATCGATTGTATTAATAAACTAATGATACATATTTGTGGAGAGAGCTGCATCATACATACTGTATGGAAATCTCACCTCTACTTCCCCCTTTCTAATAAAGTAGATCAAGTCATGTCTTTCTCTTTTTCTTATCAGTGTCTGGCCAGACATTCTACTTTCTTAGTGGAATAAATGAGAGATTTTATTTAGAGTATCATTACTTAAATGCTTGAAGATAAAAGCATTCCTGAGTATATATTCAAATTCCTTGAAAAGAGGATCTTAGTATTATTTAATTCTATTCATAAGTTTTTTCTTAAAGTCTGAGGAATGGCTTATAATTTACAAGAATTTTCTTTGTTCAATTTCTCCACAAGTCATTTGATCAATTGCATATACTGAAGCTGTTATCTTAAGATTAGTAAGCAATGAAATTTCACCAAAATAATTATTTTGTCCTATTTCTCTCAAGAAGCTATAAGCATCATCCTCTAAATTAATGTTATAACTAACTTATATTACCATTGTCTTAAGGAATAAATACATTTGATCTTCTAGTTCCAATATTTCTCTTTTTGCTTACTTTTATTGTGGCCAATTTCTAAATTTTTTCGAGATCTTCTTTTAACGTAGAGCTTTATGAATTCATAAAGAATTATTTAAATCTTTCGAAAATAGTTTGTTGCTTTTAGTAGTTAAGGTTTTAATTTGCTATTTCTTAAAATTGGCTTAAGCGCATATCAATATTTTCACGAACCACATTCGCATAGCCATTTATGATGAAATGAAAGCTTTTACCTTCATCTCCTTATTTCAAGATTACATCACCTGGCAAATATAATTAAATCGATGTAAACTTAGAGAACATAGATGCCAAATGATTATCTGAGCTAGAAAACCATGGATTTTCTGAGATTAATTTTTGAAGTTAATGATCCGAAATTTTCTGAATTAAACTTGGAGCCAATAATTTGAGTCTCGCAGGTCCTATGATATATTGAGAACTAATGCAGGTAGAATGATATTCAATTATTCTTTACTGAAGTATTTCAGGTACTTTGAGATTGAACATCATGCTCTGAATAAAATCTACTTTCTCAGCTTCACTTCTTGCTTTTTTTGTAATTTGACTTAATATAGTTGAGAGTTAACCCACAAGGATACCAAGTGATACTGATCCAATAAACACGAAAATGATACTGAAAACAATTTCAAGTGTGGTGAATGGAAGTGCATCATTTGACATTAGATAGAGTGAACCATAATAAAACATTACAAAATAACCATTGGTATAGTCATCATATATGAATGTATGATCAGGAATTACATCTTTAGGAGGCAGCCAATCTTCTTCTACCATAAATACGTAATATGCTGCGCAATCAATCCAGTGAATAATCAAGAATAGATATATGGCAAGTAGGAATATCTTAATTCCATGCTTAAAAGATTTGCTCATTCTTATGTAAGTGATAATTCGCCCTAGCCTCAATAATCTCGTTAACTTTATAAGTCCAATCAATTTCAACGAGGATTTTGAAATATGGACATCTTTTATTTCGCTGATGAACTCTAATGGTAAGGTGGCTACGATATCAATAAAAAATCTTCCCCTTAATACATAATTGATAGCAATCTTTCTTGTTTCTGTTATTGGGTCATTCGTCCTCTCATCAAAATAAATGGTTCGAAAATTCACAACTATATCAAGTACAAAAATACAATCCATAATGTAATTAATAACCTCCATTTCAGTAGTTTCAATAGCGAATGTAAGCTCAACCGGAACATAAAAAGCATTAAATAGCGACAAAACGATGATGAGCATATCCCAATAAAATTTTCCATTTGAATGCGGATGAATCAGTTATTTTAACTTGCTATATATTTCTCCAATCCGATTTTACATATTGCTATAACTAATATTTTAATTAAATAAAAAGACTCTGTGAATCGATGAAGTTTTCGATTGTATTTTTTGAAAAACATTCATTAATTGCTCTTAATTATGTCATGATGGGGTTTTGGGGTTTTGGGGTTTTGGGG